GGCCGCCCCGGAGGAGCCCGGTGGCGGGGGGAGGCGGCTGATCCGTGTTCTCCGATTTGCAGCGTTTTCCCCTGCGTAAAATACAGACCGAAGGGGAGAGCTGAGGTTGCCAGCTGCTCGCCTCTCTTGGTACAAAATTTATTGGGGAATCGGGGCGGAGGATTTTAAGGGCTAAGGGTTGTAAGTGCCTCCCGACAAAGCCACATATAAGCGGAAGGATGGCAAGATTAATATTTGCGAGCTGGTTTGGCAGTGTTTAAGGCTATTTTAGGATACCTAAACGAAAGGTTGTGAAAATAATTAAGCGAGATGTTAGTGGAAGCTGGCTTGTGGTGTGCTGCGTAATATAGTTTAACTTTCAGCCTCCAGCTGCAGGTGCTGGGAATGGCTTCAGCAACTGGAGAAACCTCTTTTTTTTAACATGCAAAGTAGACGATGCTGATGTTTGTTAGCTGCTTTCACCTTCTAGGTTACATCTTTCCAAGGGCTGGCTGTTCGCAGCCTCAGCACCTCTCCCCCTCAGGAACACTCGGAACATGGAAGACTAATTTATACCGGAAATCTGGCAAAGGCAGTGTTAGGTATGTGACTGGAAGTGATTTGCATTGCCTTGTTTTTTTTTTTAAACACTATTTAATAACTGTAAAATGTAACATTATAAAAGGGAATAATCACCTTCCAATTCTGCAGATTCTTTGTGCAGCCAAAAAATGTTGTCATTGATTTTTTTTGTTTTCCTTCCACAGTTTATGATGATTAATGTTAACATTATTTCCATATTTCAGTTGATCTTTTGGTCTCCAGTGAATTCTGCAGGTATCCCACATCTTTCCAATCCCTCAGCCTGCTTCTGTTTCTCTTGCAGCTTTTGGAGTACATTATCTTACCCAGGTGCAAAGACTTGCTGTAACTGCCATTAGCATTCTACGTACTTTCAAATATGATTGAAATGTTTCTGAAATAGGCAGATAGTATGAGGAAACATGCTATCTCTAATGAGACTTCTGTTGATTTCTCTTTGGCCAGTTAATTTTCCAAAGACATAATAAAAAGTAAACAGTCAGATGTTTTGGATATGCATTTTTTAATAGATACCTTAAAGAAGGAGGAAGTGTGCCTTAACATAATTTTCACGGCAGCTTAGACTACTGGTTCCTGTGGTGGCTGGGAACTGCACATGATCAGAGTGGTGACTGACCGTTAAGGTGCATGTAAAGATGACAGTGGAGTACTTGTCATTGTTGAATAAACCAGTTTTTGGGATTAACTGAAGTGGAGGACCAAGCAGACTTCTCTTTGAAATGTATTCTGAATGTCTATGTTAGCTCTGGAGTGGGAGCTAACTGATTTAATTTACAGTAAAATTTGAATTTCTTTTGAATGCAGTTTCCTATTTGTTAGGCTCGCTTTATGTAACTACTGACTTAGTTTACTAGAGGTGAAAAATTTGTGAAAAATTTGTCTATATGGATGTCTTATTGTTTCACTGCTGAATTACTTGAGAGTGAAATCCTTCTTTTTCTGTGACATATTTGCACTTTTTTCTCCAGCTGAATGTAAGATGATGGTTTCTTTTAGAAATGTACTGTATCTGTGAAGTGAATATTTTGTAGGTGTGCATACAGGTGTGGATTGAGAATTGGCTGGATGGCAGAGTTGGTGCATTGAGAACTGGCTGGATGGCCGAGCTCAGAGGGTTGTGATCAGTGGTGCAGAATCTAGTTGGAGGCCTGTAGCCAGTGGTGTCCCCCAGGGGTCAGTCCTGGGGCCAGTCTTGTTCAATACATTCATCAGTGACCTGGAGGAAGGCACAGAGCGCACCCTCAGCAAGTTTGCTGATGATACTAAACTGGGAGGAGTGGCTGACACACCAGAAGGCTGTGCTGCCATTCACAGGCACCTGGACAGGCTGGAGAGGTGGGCGGAGAGGAACCTGAAGTTCAACAAAGGCAAGGGCAGGGTCCTGCACCTGGGGAGGAATAACCCCATGCCCCAGTACAGGCTGGGGGCTGGCCTGCTGGAAAGCAGCTCTGCCGAGAAGGACCTGGGAGTCCTGGTGGACAACAACTTGGCCATGAGCCGGCAGTGTGCCCTTGTGGCCAAGAAGGCCAATGGGATCCTGGGCTGCATTAGGCAGAGTGTTGCCAGCAGGTGGAGGGAGGTGATCCTGCCCCTCTCGTCAGCCCTGCTGAGGCCTCCCCTGGAGTACTGTGTCCAGTGCTGGGCTCCCCAGCACAAGAGAGACGTGGCACTACTGCAGAGAGTCCAGCGGAGGGCTACACAGATGATGAGGGGACTGGAGCACCTCTCCTCTGAAGAAAGGCTGAGAGGGCTGGGCCTGTTGAGCCTGGAGAAGAGAAGACTGAGAGGGGATCTCATCAATGCGTGCAAGTATCTGAAGGGGGGGTGTCGAGAGGATGGGGCCAGACTCTTCCACGTGGTGCCCAGTGACAGGACGAGAGGCAAGGGGCACAAACTGAACCACAGGAAGTTCTGCCTGATCACGAGGAAAAACTTCTTTCCTGTGAGGGTGACAGAGCCCTGGAACAGGTTGCCCAGAGAGGCTGTGGAGTCTCCTTCGCTGGAGATATTCAAAAGCCACTGGACACAGTCATGGGCAACATGCTCTAGGCGACGCTGCTTGAGCAGAGGGGTTGGACTAGATGATCTCCAGAGGTCCCTTCCAACCTCAATGATTCTGTGCTAATAGCGATCGTAGCAGAAATAGCGCCAGCTCTGCCAGCGTTAATAAAACCCACCATGAATACATAAACAAATCATAATAGTGGCAGGAAGAAAGGGCTGAACTCTTTAGTTCCTAGCAATGGCCTTGTGTGTTCTTGGATGTAAAAACAAACCAAAAAAAACCCCAAAAGGCCAATTTTTCAGTAATGTTAACTGTTCAACCCATGCAATGATATATAGGAAGAGAACATACATAATTATAGAGATAATTTTACTCACAAGTATTAACCTTGGTTTTCTGTTTTTATTTGTTTTATGCAGGTGTGAAGTTTTTCTCTTACTCCACCAGCATATTCAACCTTTTCATGATGCCCTACATCATGCTCAAAACTGGTATTGGATTTGAAAGTCTATTTATACAAGCTGCCTTTTATGGCTTGGTAGGGTTTTTTACATTTGTAACACCAGTGACCTTGCATATCCTTACAAAAGGCTATGTGATTCGACTCTATTATAAAGCTGAAATGGACACGTATACAGCCATTACATATAACGCAATCCTGGCAGAAAAAGCAACTGTCTTCCATCAGAACGATGTAAAGGTTCCAGACATCAGCAAGATGTTTACGACATTTTATGCTAAAACTAAATCAATGCTTGTTAATCCAATGCTTTTCCCAAATCCACAGGATTATGAACATCTCATGGGTTATGACAAACCTTTTTATTTTGACTGGGAGGAGGAAAAGGAAGCCAGTGAAAGCAAATAATTTGAAGATAATGAATGTCACTATCATTATTTGTGGTGCAGTACTACATATGTGGAAGAATGTAAAATTTGTAACATTTTTTTTAAGTCTCAGATAATGTTAGAGTTCTTCAGATGCATTTTGGAATGTATAAAAGCTCAAAGTGTGTGTTTTTTTTTAACTTGTAAACAACATGAGGGGTTTCTTCACCATTAATGAAAAAACACAGTAAAACAAATGCTTATATCTGTCTTGTGCTTGTTTGTTCTTGGCTTGATTTTTATCACTAACTGTGCAGGAGAACTATAAAATGCACAGGCTGTTCAGTCTGTGCTGCAAACTCACCAACTCCATTTTACAAGGAGCCATTCATATGAAAAAAATCATGAATGCTCGCTACCCATCAAGTATACAGTTAAGTTTTTAAGGCTTAAACGTTAATTGCACTTAACGTCAAAAGGCCAGGTTTTCTTGTTGATACTGCGCAGATGTGGAGATGGCTTTCACTTCCCTTTGTGGGAACATGAGTAGCCAAGTAGAGTCTTCAAAAAGCAAACAGGTGGGGTTGCTAGTTCCTTGGCCTGCAGGCCTCTGGGGAGGATAGGAAGAGTGGCTGAGTCTCAATTAAACTAGTTATTTACATCTACTACATGACCTCTTAAGCAGTAGGCCGGCTCCCAAACAACTCTGTCTGCAGAGGTGGAGAACAAGCAGTCTTTCTTTTGTGTAGGTATGTCGGAGGAAACTGCTTTGGCATAACATCTGCTCCGTCAAAATATTGTCTAAAGCATATGCTGTATTTGTGATGCCTTAAAGAAACGCTAGCAGATAATGTGTAAAATGGAATCTTTTGGATGGAAAATGGAAATCTTGCTGAAGAAGCAAAAGGGAATCTTCTCTGGAGTAGCGTTTAGATTTTATGCCTTTAAAAATACAGCTCTATTTATTTATTTATTTAGCTCTACAAAGAAAGCTACCTTTAGTTCAATTAAAAAGAGGATTAGACCTTTGGATCTTATTGCCTGACTGGATTGGTTAAATTAGTTCTGCACTCTGGATATGAAATTGGATTTAAATGTTTTCAGCCCAAGCAAAGTGTTGTCATGTAAACTGATGGATACTTGTTTTCAAATAATGAAAGGCCTAAATATTTTGAGGTTTAAAAAATTACTGATTGATAAAGAATATAAGCAAAATTCACATTAATCTTTTTGTGTTAGCAGTGTGATATGTAATAAGTAAATCTGATGCTTGCTATTAGTGAAGTCATCTTGATGTTGCAGCAAAAATAGTTACAACTATTTTTACAGATGTTTTCTAAATTCTAACTGAGTAAAAGAATGTATTTAAAGTCTAAATGGCTTCTAAGACTTATTGTAATGTCCTATCATAGGATGACACTATAGATCCTATTAGAATATTTATATTTTTAAATACTGTTGTATTCAATTGTACTGTCGACTATTGAAACTGCTCTAGATATGTTTGCTGAGTGATTTAAAAGCAAGTCAGTCCATCTAAATATTTTTGAGATAATTCTTTTGTGTTGGAACAGCTATAATCTTAAAAGCCTGATCCATCCCCCGTTAAGCCAGTAACACTAGATAGGCAAGCGATAATACACAAACAATATATTCCATACATTATGCTGAAGACATGAGGCCAGTAACACGTGATTCTGATCACTGTTTTTTAGTACTTCTGCTTATTGAAAATCATATTCTACACCTAATGAAAAATAATCTCTATTTTTTTCCATGTCTGATGCATTCACTCCCTTCTTTTTGTGCTTGCAGATGAAGTTAACCTAATCATCTTTAAATGCCAAATAGAGGGAGAAGAGGAAAAAGTTTGCCAAAGAAGATAGAGAGTGCCCCAAAAATTACATTTACAAACCTGTGTAGACGTTAATAAAATCTTCAACCTTTTCTTTTGACTGCAAAAAATTTTCACTGTTAAATTTGAGATTTTTGCTGATTCATATTTAAGCAATAATAGTAAGAGATTTCCTTTCCACCAGTTGTTTCTTAAAAAAAAAAAAAGTATAGAATTAAAATATTATTTCTTTTGCCTATTTGTCTTCAGGGAGAGAAATTCAAGTTAAGCTAGTAGATGGCTTCTGTCACATAGATGATGCTCTTCACTCCTTTTATCAGACCAGCCCATCCTTTCCTTCTCCGGATCCCAAAGTTCAGATGTGTTGCGTAGTGCACTGAGTGCATTTCTGAGTGGGAGACTGAATGCTTCGTGTCCTTCTAGGCATTTGCTATGAAATGTGCATAAAGGAAAACAGGCCCTCTTGTTACTAGCAAATCCTGCAGTGTTTCAGTAAACAGAGACTGCTGTTAAGTCACTCTGAAAGCCTGATTATGTACTAATTTTTAATATCGGCTCCTATTAATATTCTAAACTATTTTTTTCTTCTTGCTTATTTTTTTTTCATTCGTTTGGTGCAAAACAGTTCTGATCACAGAGGTATGACAAGTTGCTAACATTTCATCTCTGGTAGTTCTTGACATTTTTCCTGGTGTAGGTAACTTATGTGCAACAGGTAATTTGTAAGGCCTAGACAATGTGCTCATACATGCGGGTGGAGATTCTGAAAGAAGTAGTGGTTTAGAGGCCCAGTCTTCTAATATACGTGACCTCCAAGCTGTCCTATTTGCAAGGCTACAGCTACTGTGAAAATTGGCAGCTCCTGCAACCTGGCTAGTACCAGCCAGTCACTTGTCATTACCAGCTGGGTCTCCCATGTTACTCACTCTAGTGCCTGTTCCCCTCAATCTGGTGTGAAGAGCAGGAACATATGAAATGACTCAAACCTGCTTCCTGGACTTGTTTCCTATTCTCTTCCAGCCTTTAGAGAAGGTCGTAGATGACTGCTGTTTTTCCCAGGAAGACAGACAGGATACGTACTTACAGATTTTTCTTTTCACTCTCTGATCACATGTTCTTTTCTTGCCAGTGTTCCTTTCCCTTTTCCTCAAGTTTTTGGCTTTGTCCACAGTATTATTCATTTGTCCCTATCTGCTCATAATTATAAGGTACAATACTTCTTGTCATTTTTTAATTTTATTCTTTAAATTAAATTATCCCTCAGACTTTTCTTACAAATGTAAAAATTTCTGATGAGAAAATTATCCCCTTAAGATATTTTAAGGAGTTATCTTCAAAGCTCTGAGATACTTCAGACTCTTAACCACACTCTCTAGAATTAAAAAATAACTAATTTCACTTGAGCTGGTTTTATTACAAACCAGAGTCACTGCACTGGCAAAGATGAAGAAAAGCTCTTTAAGTCTTTCACACTGTAGAGAGTATAATTAAGGCAATGGAAACTTCATGAAATTCTATTTGTGCTATGAAAACTAAGAGCACACAAGTGAAAAATTAGATTTGCTCAGTGTAACTTAATAGGTGGGAACTTGGTAAGCTGCTGTAATTTGGTTGCCCTGGAGTTCTGTGCTTGTATCATGAAGTTCTTCATGACCCACGTACAGCACAGCCTGCTGCAGCCCCACCAATAAATGAAACAAGTACGCTAGCTACGAGCTGGATCCACTGATAAAAATAAGACTATCTGACAGCTGTACAGACCTAAGCTCGAAAGAGCAGCTATTTTATGCATGGAAAAAGAGAGAACAAGAGCAAACAGCCACAAAATGTGTCCAGCCCTCTCCATTCCTGGAATACCATGGCAGACTGTGCTGCTGTGGTATCTGTTCTGGAGATCAGCCTCGAGCAGGACACAACCCTTTCTTCTCTCTTTACCCTCTGCTTTCTCCTCTTCCTGCCAAGTTTAATGGTTTAATATACTCTTTAAAGTATAACTATAAACTTGAAAAGAATAAACTATGAGCGTGTTGGCATTAGGCACGTGGTTATTTCCAACGTAATTGTTCCCACAGGATAGCACCTAGTCTGAATTTGTTTCACTTTAACAGTGTCCAGTGATTTAACTTAATACACTTGAATCAAACCAGGAAGCCAAAACACGTATGGCAATTTTACCAATATGTTCAGAAAAATGCTCTTCACTCCCTTTCTTCCTCTCTCCCAACTATTTTCTTGCTTTCTCAAATGCTACAGACTCACCACCAAGTATCTGCTGGTGCACTGCTCCTGCACTGGCCTCCCTGGCACTCATTAGTACTTCCTCAGCCATATGCGGAGAAGGTGAATCCTCTTTCTCTCTCCAGTCTCCCTGGCCATGAAAATTTCTGCTTAAATTATGCATAAAATATGCACTAAGTAAACATTGTCAAAGATGAGATGAGAAGATTTGAGAAGGGAAATTTACCGATGAATTGCTACAATTTCTTTTTCTCCATGTTGACTGTAAGGCATGCTTTGTCTTGTGAATAAAAGCCGTGTATCTTGTCGTGTATCGTCCCTTTCTATTGGAGTATTTTCAACGGCAATGCTAAATCCAAGTTCAGGAGCAATAATTGTGTCTGCTTCCAGCTGCATAAAGATCTGCTTCAAAAACTAACATAAATGGTCCTGCAGGGAAAATTAAATGATCATTTCCTCTTTTTCTATCGTCGGATAAATAGAAAAACATCTTGAAAGAGTTTTCAATTAGCATGAGGTTTTGGGAGCTACGTTGTTATCTCCCAAGAACTTGGGCATATTGGTGTCTTCTAGAAAGTGCATCTACGTACTTGTCTCAAGATTTATAACTCTCTCTGACTAACGCTTTGAAATGGGGTACTTTCCTCTGCTGTCCTGGAATATTGTTAATATTTTTTCTGTGATGGGATATTATGATAATGTATATTATAAATCTTCCCTGAGGGAGATTTCAGTGACTTATGACTGCTCATCGGGTCAAAGTACTCATCTGCAGCCAACAAACCAAATACAAAGCGATTATTTTGAAAAGCAATCACATGTAAGCTAAGCACTTTTTAGATTTATTGAAAAAGAAGATAAAAATCTCGTAAATTAGGTTAAGGTTTTTAAACATAAATCAGTGGGGAAGCTTAGTGTTAAACAACTTCTCTCAGCATCTCAGATGCAGAGCAAATGAAAGGTCATAGGCATGAAGTTCTAAACTCTCTAGATATATTTTAGGTACTGTTAAAGCCTGGTAGGACAGTCAGTCCCTACTAAATGAAGTTACAAAGGATTTTAAAACAAGTGAGGTAAATTGTCACAAAACTGTAGCAAAATAACACTAGTGTGTAGCTCTCCCCCATTCTCTTTCTCTCTTTTTCATCTTTCTCTCCTTTTCATCTTCCTCCTAACAGTATATAAGACACAGATTACAGTAAAGAAAGAGTATCTAGTAAAAATAAAATGTAAATAAGTTTATCTCCTTCCTTTCCAGTGCCCTTCATACTATCTTGAAAGGGCCAAAGCGGATCCCTCACTCCTATAGCGCGCTAGTTCAGGGCTTCTGTCCATAAGCATCACAAGAGTTCAATGATATGAATGCCATTGGTAAGGGCATCAGAAACCACATGTAACTAAACCTGAATTAGCTGAAAAGATTTAAGATGATTGAGATGATTTTAATTTAAGAACAAATAGTCTTGATTTATACAGTAAAACTGCGCTAAGGAATACCGAGAATACCAAGTTTTCCTAGCTGTCTGTATAAGCCACCAGGGGGGACTCATTCCTCATCTATGTCATTTACTGAAGCAAGTATCTGAAAAACCACCTAGTCCAGGTCCAGGTCTAGCAAGTCACAGGGTTCAGCTGAGAACTTATCGTCATTTAAGCTAAAAGAGCTTTTATATAAAATCTCATAAATCTGCAGTGCTTTTTCCAATCTGCCCCTGAGTTTACCAGTCAGCCAACGCTCAGTGCAGGAGAGCAAGTACAAGCCTGGCATCAGAGGGACGCGCTTCCAGCCGGCTGAGCTGTGCCGTACACGTCAACACAGTACAGGCAGCGCGGGCTCATGCCTGCTTAAAACTGACCTGTGACCTGCGCTAAATCTGTTGGACTGCTGGCCACAGCTCTGTGATTAATAAGAAAGCTTTTTTTGACACGGTGACTGTACCTGTACGAGGCAGCTGCTCTTTAATGGCTATTTCACTCCTCCTCCTCTTTTTGCTGCTACCAAAGTCTTCCTGCTTCATTTTAGTTTTGCCATACATTTTACTATTTTTAAGCAAAATTTGGCCCTTTTGAAACATAACTCCATCGTTGCTGTGATTACAAAGGGTTTGTGTGTTTTATTATGTCCTGTTAAACAATAGCTAAAATCTCTATGTGATGTAGGTACTCTGGAGCTCTGTCAGGAAAATTATGCAACTTTGAATTCAGACTTAGCAGCCGGATATTAGAACTTTCCTTCAGTCTTGAACTCTATTGGGCCAGTGCAATTCTTCTTGTCATCTGTAGAAACATTTGAGAATACCGAAGAGAATCCTGTAACCTTGTTAAATTTTGAAATTTTTATCTTCCGTTGTGAATTATTACATTTATTAGCTCATCAGTTGGTACTTTTAAGTACTTTTAATAGAATTCTCCTCATCTTCCTTAACTAGTCTGTGTACTCCCTTCTCCTTCAGTTGAGTTCTCTGCGTATCTCTTTTCCCAAGTTATCTTTTGTGTTGAATATGTTTGGACTTCTGAAAGCTAAATGTTTTAATCTTTTGCCTACTTCACCTTTAATATGTGTAAAATATTCCCCTAGCATACACACGAGTTATGAGATTAGAAACTACAAGTGCTCTTAGATACTATGTCAGAAAAATTGAATATTTGTTGCATGTAATTTTTATTCAATTTATTGCGTAGCACAAAGTTGAATATCTGTGTCTTGCATATATTGCTACTTTTTCACAACAAATACAACAATTTCTGATCTATAAGGAGCCTGTGCACACATGTATAAATCAAGAAGGTAACTCATGAGAAAATAATTCAATTAATGTAAGTTTCCATATTGTATTATATTCAGAAAAAAAATTATAATTTTATTTTCTGTCAGTTAGATGGTGATTGCACTTCCTTGCATGAAGCATTGAACTTTTTATCTATTTCTGTAGCTGGGACTAGCAATATTGCTGATTTTGTGGAGTAAGAGCTGGCCTAGTTTAGTCCACAGAGCTGATATAGCAGAAAAATGCAAAATACATTATGTTTTTTTTTTTTTTTGTGTATTGCACTAACAGACAAAAACAAGGGGGTCTAATTCCAAAAGTGCTTGAAAATTTTTTGTTTTACTGTTTCAGACTTGAGTAGCAAAATCTGCCATTTAGGCTATGTTTTTCAACATAGTCCTACCCTAACTTAAAATCAGACTCTTAGTCTAGCTTTAGTTATGACAGGGAGATTATGCTTTCTTATAAAAACATCTCAGTCACAATTTGACAGCTTTTGTTATTAACTGTGCCATGCTCAGTATCCTTCTGGCCACGTGCCTGTGCACTGTACTGCCAAATTACTCAGTGTTTGGGCTTGGTGTTCTTCAGCTAATTATGTAGGGCAAGGTTCTTCCCCAGCCATTCCAGGGGAAGGCATGGGAACAGGCAAAGAGAGGCTGAAGGAGAGGGCGATCAGACCCATCAGTAATAATTTTATGCATTTCTAGACTTATTTCCACTAAGAAATGTCACCATGCTAGATAACAGCTTTGAAGACCGTAGCTGACAGCGCAGAATATTAGTGATCCAGGTCAGTAACATGTCAGAAGGTTGCATAAATTCCCATCCTCACCTACATTTGGAAATATGTCATCTGATTAGACTCCTCCACGGTAGCAGCATGTTCTTAAAGTGTGGTGGGCTTGATATGACATTCATTTTGAAAACTTGTGAAAATTATTGACTAACACATATGAATAAGAGAGTGAACTTGTTTTTCATCATTTGAATGTAGATTTTTCTCTTCTTTGTTTTGCATAGGAAACTTTGTGAGCCTTTGAAATTATGCCTTAACAAATGTTACTTCGGATGAGTCAACTAGACGTGCCTTTTGTATGTTTCTGGTAATCATATTTTTAGTTTTTCACTTCCCTATTTTATGCAGTTTTCTCTTTAATTTTTCCCCTTGTGACTTGAGCTATACTGTCTGGACAAAACGTAACAACAAAGGCAGAAATTCTTTTTCTTCACAAATTTAGGATGCTAAAACTGGTAGTGCTACAGTAGGATTAATTAAGATTGTAGGGAATTTGACGAAATAGCTGAATGTTCCCTGAAGCCATGTGACTGAGGATGACTATGCTTATTTTTTGTTCCTCTTCCGCCAAAACAAAGCATTCCGCCAACCGAGAGAAGTAACGATGTTTCAGCTTTTCTTTTTCGTTTTATTCACCCCTGGACTTAGTAAATTGCTTTGCACATCATCAGACCTAGAAATATCATACACCTTTTGTGGTAAGTAAAAGATGCCTTATTCTTTTCTTATATGGTGTTTGCCCAACAGTTACTGTAGCCGAAAGAAATGTGATCTTTCTCATTTGTTTCTTTGATGAATACAGAAAAATGATAATAACAAGCTCAGCTAGGGTGTATATCTGTTGTTAATTAGAGTGTATTTCTGTTATTAATTACCATATTACAGGAATTACACTGCATAAGCGTAAGTATTACCACAATGCTGGTTACATCAGCTGTGAGAAACGAGAGATTTACTACTAAGTGAAGCAGTCATGTTTTGGTTTAGGAAAAAATTAAAAGGTAACATTTAAACTTGCTCTGTTAGTACTATATTTTATAAATTCTACACACGGATTTAGCCAATACGTTTGAATCAATAGCTTTAGGCGTATGAGAAAAGAAAGGCCTCGTGCGAGATTTTGTCAGGCTGGGCAATCAGTTATGCTCTGGGACAGCATTGCGTGTCTCCTCTTTACTTGCCGTGTCTGTATGGAAGGCCATTGGATCTAGTCGCAGACCTCTCTGAATTTAGTTAGATATGGAGCATGCGATGCTTCATCACGCTGCACCTTACACTGAGATCTGTACTGTGTATATTGTACAACATTAGGTGGATCAGCCATAAAGCAAATCTACTCATAGTCTCATTTACATTATTCGGGAAAGTATGCTGGTCCATTAAAATCGTATTTACCTGTTGTTAGCAAGCTTCCACAGTTTCCATGATTAGCAAAAGCAGGGCTATTTTCATCAGAGGACCATGCTGACATAATGCTGTCTTCAAAACAGAAGTAAAAGTGCATTTACCTCTGCTTGTTTATGTGCAAAATATCAACCCAACAACTGCCTTTTCTTACTACTTAATCTCAACTTAATATGATTTTACTTTTGACTTCTAAGCATATGAGTAATTAGGAACGTGATTTAAAATATTTACTGCTTGCTATGGATATTTTGTACTATATAACTTTACAATATGTACCTTATATTAAATAAGTTTTTAAAAAATAGGTATTTTTATTATAGCTATGTATATATGTATGTTTTTATTATTTTACTGGAGAATTTTACTATTCACACTACCCACATGAAATACTTTTTTGTTCTGTAGATTCTGTAGTTCAGACCTTCATATTTAATATAACACCTTGCACCATGGTGAATAAACCAATCTGGAATGTTGCTCTTACCTGGATTCCACGTAAGTCACTCCTGGCCAGAGAATTATATTCTATAAATGCAAAAAATACGATACAACCAAAAGCTAACACTTCATCCTAAGTGTCAAACTATTGAGGAGAGCAGTTCTGGTGACTACATAAGGAATTGGTAATGTGATGGACAAAAATTATGATTTCTAAATGATTCGTGGAAGTAAGTGTGCGCGAGTTTGACTTGAGCAGTTACCAGAAATTTTTCATTCATGTATTTTTGGAAGATTGATGCTTTTTGTTTAAAACAATTTTTGTTGTTCTGGAAACAACATGGTTGAAGTTATTTGTTTTTGTTAGTTTTAGGGGGAGTCTTTAAACACAAATCCATATTTTAAAGAATTTATTTTTTCTAATCTAAATAGCATGTTTGTGTATATGTTTTTCCTCATTACCCATTACCTTTTTCTTATTTGCAATGTCGCAACTAGGAAACGACATCACCTTTTTGAAGGTAGTCTTTAAAGTCTTGTATGATGGTGCCAAAGCGTTAGACTGGAAAGAAGTTCTTTGTAGCGGAGCCGACGATGAATATGCTGTTTGTGGAACGTTGAAAGGAGGTCAGTGTAAATAGCACGCAGTATCTTTCCCTTGCCTTGCAGACTGCTTCTATAAAAGGGACAAAATCTGCCCCCTTCTTAAATACCGACCACTAAGCAGATTTCTTAAGACACTGTTTCATCAACCCATGGAGATGGATTTTTCTAGGAAAACTTAGAAGAGTAAAGGTGAACTTCCGTCAGCGCTAGCCACGCTACAGCACTTCAGCTGTTACAAAGGTGTCCTTTGCCTCTCTGCAGCTGGTCCAGTTCAGCTGCTGAGCGGGGGAGTTATCTCTGGCTCCAAGAAGTAGCACCTTAAGCTACTGAAAGACATTATGGTTCACCAAGCTAAGGGGGGCTTTGAGAGCAAGGGGACTTTCCACAGCTTAAACTCAGATTGACTAAGTTTAGTCAAACCACATGGACCAGTTATTAGAACCCTGAGCTCCTGGCTTAGGTAACATAATTCAGAGCAGGCAGTTCTCCAGCGTCAGAACTCTGCTAAACCACAGAATCCCTTGTACTGTGGTTTCCAGCTCTGTAAAGTAGGATGAATAATATTCTTTACCTCATAATCAAAATTTTATTGCTAATATCTCTAAAATGCCATGGAAATACTATATTTGATTGGACTACACATGTAAACCTGAGAGGAGGAGGGACACTACTAATCTCCGAGACACAGTTAATTTAAGTAAGTGGCTAGATGATGTTTTAAAGATCTTCTCTATACAGGCATATAATGCTTTTTCCTAATAAAGAAGAGTTAATTCTGTCATAGAGACTAACCAACATTAACATGACATAGGTTCAGACCCAGAGAACTTATAACATCAGACTACAAGCAAAAAAGACCAGGACAGAGGTCACAGTATGTAGTCCATGTTTTCCTTTTTTAATAAATGAATATCACTTCTGTGCAGGTATTCAGAACTACTATGACAAGTTACATTATTGGAAGTGTCAGTTGGATGAGTCTGTAGATGTTGCAGTAGAATTATGCTTAATTTTTATTTCCTAATGTGATTTAGAAAAATAGATGGAGTTCTGGGAGAAGAAGCAAGTGAAGGCTTTATCACTGGCAGAGTGAACAGTATTGGTGGTGTTACTGAGAGATCTGGCACTTTGCTTTGAAGTTATTTAGGAAATTTGATTGATGGCTTTATGATTAAGTAACCATTTCTATTATGATGATCCCTATTTTACAGAAACAGTTGCAACAACATTTGATATTAAAGGTGCACGAACAACATTTCCACAGGTACTTTCGTGTCAGTTATATAAAGAGATAACAATGATAACAATAGTAAAATAACATACTTACATGTGTATATTTTCTGGAAAGAGATGTTCACCCACACTGCAGAAAACAGCAAAAGGAATTGTAAGAAAACTTTCTCCTGCTTGAAGTAATGACTGCGGGATGGTAGCGATTCTGGAATGATAGATGTGCTCAGGTTATTCCTCTATGCATAGTTTTCCATAAACTTTATTTTGTAAAAGAAAAGATCAAAGGTATTAGTTAATGTCACCCTAATTATTCTGTTTGTTTGGTAAATCATTGTGTTTACGTTAGCCTATGGGGTAAATCCATCCATATCCTTTCTTCCCATTTGATTCATTCTCTTAGGTTCTCTTCACACCCTTGGCTGTTCCTCCCAGAAACGTTTTTCAAAGATGTGAGGAGGGATAACAACATTCAAAAGTAAAAGCAGAGCTCCAGTGTTGAAGCAGGAGCAGCACTAGTCCTCAAGTTAGCCCCCTCCGATCCAACACCTGCCTCATCAGCCTGAACCTTCCCAAGACCCTGACACTGGCTTTAGCATCACTAACCCAAGCACCCTTATTAATTCCCACAAAAGTTGCTAAGGAGCTCCTACTGGCACGAAATCTCCAGTGTCCCCTTCCTACCCCTTAATTTAAAGTTCATGGGCCTCTGATTGGATTAACTCCAGCCCAGAATCCCTTCTAGCCCCAGAGCTGTTAGAAGACAGAAATCCCCCCTGCCAAAGGTCTTCTGACAGATGAGGTGCTTATCTGTGCTTACCTGACACTTCTTCATGGGACTCTGCCAGCCCAAGCACTAAACCTAACCATGGCCTTTACTGGAAACTGGAAACTCTTGCAAGTCTTCCAGTCTTTACGTTAGTCCTAAGATCTCTTCTGATCCCAGATGCTCATCCCCAGCTTGTCATATCAGAAGAGGAAGGTGACAGGTATCAAAGAGGTAGGATGAGATCAGAGTTCAGTAGGGGCCACGAAGCTAACTTTTGTCCTGGTGCTTACAAGAGTCTCCGGTCTATGTGAGGCTGTGAAGTAAACACCGGTGTCTAGACAACAGCTAAATTTAGGGTTATGTTGCTTTAGGGATCAGACTGCTGGATGTAGACGAGCAAAGCCCTAGGTTTGGAAGGAAAGCTGAGCTAGCATGAGGACTGGTATTGCTTACTTCAGTGTCTACTATGAGAAAGCATGGCTAAGTTAGAGCAGGGCTTCTGGCTAAGACTGGGGCAAGCAGGATCTGCCTTATCAGGGAGCAGCACAAGGGGGCTACTCCACAAGGGAGCAAGGCGGGAGCTGAGGTGGACGGCCAGGCCGGCAGGGCCATGCCCACAACCACAGGGCGCCATCCCGCCGTTCCCAGCAAGGTGAACAGGGCAAGGCCGGCGATGGTGACCAGGGTCAGCCTCAGCCACAGACAAGTCTGTAGTCATGAGACAGGTCCAAGGCCAAACCAGAAAGCCAGGCCAGGGTCAGGAAAGTAAAAGGCCACACACAGGTGTACCTACAACATACCTTAGGCAGGGACCAAGAGCAAGGGCTGGAGCTTAAATACAGGTGCTGAGCGAGGTGGGGGAAGGCCTAGCCAAAGCTTCTCACTGCTGCTTCTCCCACAGCTGATCCAGGGTCACACAGCTGTACCGTAACAGGGATGGCCCAGGGCACAGGCAGCCAAAGCCCTAGGACAGGGGGAAGAGGTTGCAGACCTCATGGGTTCACTCATGGCCCTGAGACCATGATTTAGGCTAGGACCAAAAGGGCAGCTTGAGACCTGCTACTGAGGAATGGTCCTGGTTATATTTTGAGCAGGCACTGGAAGAAATGTCTAGAGCTAATGCTAGCATTAGAATTGAGTTTAGGTTTAGGCTGCAAACTTGATAAGAACAGTCAATTGCTTCAAAGCCTGGTTTTGGAAAGAAGTTGTAGGCTCTACCAAGGACAGTTGCTGGCAACATCAGCTGGTTTCAATTTGTCTGGGACTGACAACACTCACTGAATTAGGACCAAAGAGAGGGCTAACTCTAGCATCAGGGTTAGAATCTAGTCCCTTAGGGCAGCACTCAAATACCTTCACTCTATCTAACTTTTCCTCTTCTCTACCACGGATCTTTCCCCCCACTCTTCTCTCTCTAGTGCAGTTCATCCTAATTCTGACGTCATGTCCAAACTCTGGACAAATTTTTTGCCACCAGTAATACTATGAGGTTGTTTTAGCTTTTATCAAGCAGATATTTGATGTACTCACATCATACGCTCACTGAAGTCAACCAGTTTGGTAAGTGCTATTGAGGCTGAATGGAAATAACAAATATACAGTACCTGATTATAGCTGAAAACAACAGAAGAGACTAATACAACAAACTCTATTACAAGACCGATCAGCAGCTGTGCAATATAGAGCCTGGTGGATTCTCCTAGACCATAAAATATAGGGGGTATGACTCCAACTACCTATAGCGCATGCGTATTTTGGAAGAAGGTAGCAGAAAGTCAGCAGAAAACAGAAAAAGTGTTAGTATATCTCAATCCTGGCTGAATGTAAACTGTAAGGGCTAACGAGGTTAGCCTCACAGCCTCTACTGCCCCACAGCAAGAACCAAAAAAAGCAGCACACTTGCCCATTGCTGCAGAACAGAGCCTAGTCTGTCAACTCAGTTAATTCCTCTTTGTATGTCTATTTTGTCAGCTGGAGCAGCAGGGGTCAAAACCATTAATCAAGAGGCCGGCTCTGGAAGGGGGAGCCAGAGCCCCTAGGACCACAGGTCTCCTTGGTTTAGGAGAGAGCCCTGAGAAGCATAAGCCAGATCACAGCCTATCTTCTTTAGTGTTGGAGTTGAGAAAAGGATGTTGTGCAGTATTTTTTATGTACATATATATTTGAATATATTCCTGATAACAATCACTGATGGGAATCTTTGTTTTTCCATCCTAACCAAAATAACCTGAACCATGCTAACTAACAGCTTCGCCAGGAATGGGTAGCATCATGCACTGATCTTTGTTTTTTCTTTGCTTGCTTTTAGGGAAAATATACTATTATTATACACGGATTCGCTGATGATTCTGAAAAGAATATGCTCGTATGCCTAAATTTCACCATGACAGTAAAACAAGAAGCTCTCTGAATGCGACAAATGTTACCAGTAATTCCAGAACACTGAGATTCCTTCTGCAAGCAATTGGGATCTGATCTATGAATTAATAAGCACACTAATTATCCTGGGATAGAATACAGCACGTACTGGATGGAAGCTTACATGATGGATAGTCTTATCCATTTATAGCACTGCTATAATCAGATGCTCAGCCAATGTGCACAAAATCTCTGGGAATCAGGCCTGCTGATTAATCCTGAGAATGATCCTGAATGGATGTCAGATTAATAACTGCCTTTCGATGCTGTGCCGTGAGTTATGAAAAAGCTGAGTACTTCAGACTGCACTAAACTAATACAAGAATTTTTTGAAATTCTGAGCTGCAAGAATTGGGTATTTGCCAGTACTCAGTTTAAAACATGACAGCATTTGAATCTAGAATCCTGTTTTTCCTTTTAACAGTAAAGCTCTAGCTGTGAGACCAACTTGAGAAAGGGTTTTTATGCTCCTGTTGTTTTCTATTATCTTTATAGGTTCCCTTATCTTCTCCTCCATTTTTGCCATCATGAAAGAAAAGAGTAACAATTTCTCATCTATCATGAGCTAATGTTAATAAAATCCAAAGCGAAATGTGTTACCATGTACGCTGCTTCAGTACAGTTGAGCTTAGTTAGTACAGCCATCCTGAGCTACAACCACAGCCACACAGGCCCGGTCCGTGTCTTTAGCTTGGGCTCCAAAGCTTTAGCGTTGGGTCGCAGTGGAGCTGGAGCTAGCACCTCGGCGGCGGCGTGGGGCAGCGACCAACGGCCCCGGGGGGGGCTGAGATGGGGCCAGGGCGGGGGGAGGCGAAAAACACGTCCTTTTTCGTACCCAACCCTCTGTCAGGAGTTGCCTAGTGAAGTAAGATTTTTTTAATCTAAGAAACGTACCCGTGTTGAAGTTGTTCACTGTGCTGGCCGTTAGGGTGAGCTGTATCTAACAGTTTACTGCAAAATCCCTAGGTCTGAGGGGGAAACAAACCAAAAAGGGGAACAAATCAACCAACCCACCCTCTTTCAGCGTGCTGAAACTACCAAGCATGCAAATTAGTCAAAGAAAAAATTTTACGTTCACTGCAACAGAGGCATCCTTCAAATTGGATGCCAGAAACAAAGCAAAACAAAACAAAACAAAACAAAATATGTAGGCATTTGATTTGAGGCATTCATTTTGAAAACTGGCTTCACTATAACAAGTTTGGCAAAAACATCAATATTAAATAAAAATATAAGAACTAAAATTGCGTTACGGTAGGAGACAAAAAGCCAAAATTACATCAAAGTGGTAATGGCAAAGTATCAAGTAGCAATGAAATGCCATTTGTGTATGATTAATACATATGATGTCCCCTTGTACCGATTTTGCAAAAGTGTCCAGCAACCACAAGTAGACTCCTCAAAATACTTTTTAATGACAAAGTGTTCTGACATTTAAGTTGCCCTGACTCTCTGGAAGGTAGAAGAAACAGTTAAAATGATATTTTGTTCATTAAGTAGCAAGTACCTACCTTAAGTAGGAAGAAGAGAAGCTAACAACTAGTGGGAATCAACTATATTCATAGGCTCTGTTTTCACACAGAATCACAAACAGAATGGTTGAGGTTGGAAGGGACCTCTGGAGATCATCTAGTCCAACCCCTCTGCTCAAGCAGCGTCGCCTAGAGCATGTTGCCCATGACTGTGTCCAGTGGCTTTTGAATATCTCCAGCGAAGGAGACTCCACAGCCTCTCTGGGCAACCTGTTCCAGGGCTCTGTCACCCTCACAGGAAAGAAGTTTTTCCTCGTGATCAGGCAGAACTTCCTGTGGTTCAGTTTGTGCCCCTTGCCTCTCGTCCTGTCGCTGGGCACCACGTGGAAGAGTCTGGCCCCATCCTCTCGACACCCCCCCTTCAGATACTTGCACGCATTGATGAGATCCCCTCTCAGTCTTCTCTTCTCCAGGCTCAACAGGCCCAGCCCTCTCAGCCTTTCTTCAGAGGAGAGGTGCTCCAGTCCCCTCATCATCTGTGTAGCCCTCCGCTGGACTCTCTGCAGTAGTGCCACGTCTCTCTTGTGCTGGGGAGCCCTTGGCCACAAGGGCACACTGCCGGCTCATGGCCAAGTTGTTGTCCACCAGGACTCCCAGGTCCTTCTCGGCAGAGCTGCTTTCCAGCAGGCCAGCCCCCAGCCTGTACTGGGGCATGGGGTTATTCCTCCCCAGGTGCAGGACCCTGCCCTTGCCTTTGTTGAACTTCAGGTTCCTCTCTGCCCAGCTCTCCAGCCTGTCCAGGTGCCTGTGAATGGCAGCACAGCCTTCTGGTGTGTCAGCCACTCCTCCCAGTTTAGTATCATCAGCAAACTTGCTGAGGGTGCGCTCTGTGCCTTCCTCCAGGTCACTGATGAATGTATTGAACAAGACTGGCCCCAGGACTGACCCCTGGGGGACACCACTGGCTACAGGCCTCCAACTAGATTCTGCACCACTGATCACAACCCTCTGAGCTCGGCCATCCAGCCAGTGTTTAGGTTTACCTAAATGATCTCTAACTCAATCCTCCTCCACCAAGGGAAAGTCTTTCTTTCTCCAAACTTTCTCCCTGCTCTCCAGAGCCTGGGATTCCTGAGGGCTGGTTTTAGCAGTAAATACTGAAGCAAAGAAGACATTCAGTATCTCTGCGTTCTCTGTATCCTTCATCACCAGGGCCCCTGCCCCGTTCAATAGGGGGGCTCACATTTTCCCTAGACTTCCTCTTGTTGCTGGTGTATTTAAAGAAGCCCTTCTTGCTGTCCTTGACATCCCTTGCCAGATTAAACTCCAAATGGGCCTTGGCCTCCTTTTTACATCCCTGCATTCTTGAATGACATCCCTATATTCCTCCCAAGAAGTGGCCTGTCCCTGTTTCCACCTTCTGTACACTTCCTTCTTCTGTTTGAGTTTTGCCAAGAGCTCCTTTTTCATCCATGCATATCTCCTGCCTCCTTTTCTCAACTTCATGCTCATACGGATGCACTGTAACACATAAAGACATGTTTTAATGCCATATAGATGTTACAGAAATTTACAGTATAAAGGTAAAAATATAATTTCTATATCTCAATTGGGATATTTACAAATAAATGTATATATTTAATAGCTTCTATGTACTTTTGTAGTGTAGAGCTTTAGCTGAAGGGTTATAATTACGCATACTAGCAGATACGATTGCTAAGTGGAACACAAGCACCACGATTTTATAATGTAAAGGCCTTTCCAATAACGTCTTTAGTACATTCCTTCAGATGCAAGAGAAAACCAAAAGTTTGTAAAATGTAATATCATGCAAATGGATTACCCTGAAGTTGTCCTCATCCATAGAATGAATGGTAGAGCTGAAAGCAGAGCATTGCTTTGCATATCTTTTTCCCAGGACAGAGCTCTTTCAAAGCTTTTTTTTCCTTCTACTGTGGTCTGTAGTTGACAAAAGTTATTATTTAACTTGCTGCTTTTCCTAACCTTTCAGAGCACAAACTCAGGGCTCTACGATAAAGACAAAGCTATTTAGGATAAAGTGAATTGCTTCGACTCAGTAAAGACTGATCCGAATTTTTCCCTTTTCTCCGATTTACTGGGTCAGTAAACTTTGATTTTTTTTTTATATACTTCATTTCCTGGATCTATCCAGGGCCAGAATTTGAATGATGTAAATGCCATGAGATAAACTATTCACTCAGTATTTCTGACTTAAAATGACAGAAACTACAGATTCTGAGATATTAGAATCTTGCCAAGAGTCCCAGTTAGCTGTACAAGTCCCCCCCTGTTTACCCCGTAAACTTAAGTAGATCAAGGAATGACTAGTATACAACATATTTTTCTGAATCTAGTATCTAAAACCATCACAAATATCTCTCTTTCTCTTCCTCATTATGGTTGTTTTTAAGCGGCTGTCAGGATTTGCTGCAGATGGGAAAATAGCTTTTCTTCACCCCCTCACCCTCTGTCGCCAGATATGTAATTATCTGAAGAAGCAGTTCCTGTAAAATGTTTTTCAATAAGCATGCACACTTTCTGAATTGTGTATTAAGATTTCAATTGATAAAAACAGTGAAGCATAAGTAACTGAATATGAGAGAAGTCCCGGTGACCACAATACCATGCACCTGTGCTGGCTCAAATTGTAACATCATTTGGGCTGAACACAAACAAAATTCCACATAATTTGTGTATTTTGATAGCATATCTTCTTACTAGGGATGTATTGGAAAATATATGCAATTACTTAGTCACCAATCAGCTTAGCTGGTGAAAACCACACATGCTCATATCGAAATAAATTTTATGGTATTATATGGAATAAATTATACATTTTCTTATGTAACAAATTATATGGCAGCAAGAAGAAGTTGGACTTGGTGATGCAAGATATGTTCTGGTCTGTGTTACAGTCACCGAAAGAGAAATGCAGCAGTATTACTACCTTTTGAGCAATTTCTTCTCTGCAGGACATGCTAGTAATTGCCTTTGAAGTTTCAGTCCAGCACACTGCTCTATGCCAAATAGCTTCACTTGCTTCATGTTCTACCTGTGCTCCTGTCGCACACCACTCTGCAGGGCAGCAGATGGAGACAGTGGCATTTATAATACAAGAGAGGCAAGGGAGAGAGGGGAGGGCCACTTGTGCGGGGAGAGCGCAGGAAAGAGAGGACAGGAGAAAGGGACTTTGGAAACTGTCATTGCTTATGCTAGGAATGACCGGGCACTGGAAAATCCGGAAAATAGGCCCTGGGCACGCACACTGCGGCTTGTGGATCCTAGGCACAGGGGCCTCGCTGCATGTCTGCTGTAGATAGGTATGTCCATAGCCTCTTCTGTTCAAGATACATTTTATATTGGCAAAGAGACCTTATATAGATGTACATATTATATATCTTTTTATATATATATATATATATGCATATACAATTGATATATATTTCTGGCCATATAGTTTAGAATTCCCCAGAGCTTCTGGGAAACTTTCCCAGAGTTTTATCAGAGCTTCTGTCCACAAAAGAACATTTTTTTTCCACTTAGGCTTTTGTCTGAATGGCTGTATTTGCCAAAGGTGTGGTGTTTTCTGTTTGAAACTTTTACTAACATAATTATGGCAGCGTTAACTTTTAAAAGTAAACCCGTCTCTTTGCTCACTGGACAGAAGAGTCGCTGATTCTGTGTATTAAGGTCTGTGTCTGTCCCTGTTTTCCTGTCCCACATAAAACCTTTGCATACTGCAGGGCAGATAGATAGTTTTTCTTACTTTATAACTTCGGTTAACCAGGCTCATCCACTGTGTATTTTCGTCTCCAGGAGGTTGGACATCTTTCCTCCATATTGATTATAACGTTGGATTAATTCTTAAGTGTATCATGTTTAACCCGTTTTAATTTAGCCCTTTTGCAATGTTACTCATATTTTTTGTATTTTAAAAGAGTAATATAATTTAACAATTTCAGTAATGTAACTTAAAAAAAATCTACAGTAAGTAAAGATAAATGCAGAAAAGGGGGCAAAAATTTAGCATTAATACTCTCTGAAAGCAAGAGAACTGAAAACCTGACGTTCACTTAGG